GCGCGCCGGAGCCCGTTCCGCGTCCCCGCCGCCGGGAGGAGGTGCCCGCACGCTCGCGGCGCGCGCTGGCCCCGGACTCGGCCTGTGGGCGATTTCCTCCGGACCCAGGCTCCGCGCCCGAGGAGGAAGATGCAGACCTTTCTCAAAGGGAAGAGAGTTGGCTACTGGCTGAGCGAGAAGAAAATCAAGAAGCTCAATTTCCAGGCCTTCGCCGAGCTGTGCAGGTAAAGAGGGACGCGGCTCCGAAGCCCGGGGACCCCCGGCCTCAGCCCGGCTCAGCCTCAGCCCGGCTCAGCCTCAGCGGTCGCTGGGGAGGCGAGGGCAAAAAGGGAAGGAGCGGTGAGCGCGGAGGCTGCGTGCGCGGAGCCAGGTGGCCGTGGGGCCGCCGGCAGGTCGGAGGGGAGCGGTGGCCAGTATGGGCGATGGTTCGGACCGGGGCTCTCAGGTGCACTGTGCCCGGCCCCGAAGCCCCCAGCCGCGCGGGGAGCGCTTCTGGAGGCTGGCGGAGGTCCTGGGCAATCCGGGGGTCCGCGCTGTCAGCTGGGGGTTTGAGGGTACTTTTGCACAGACGTGTTTGTCTTCCTTGGTCACCTTCCCCGTAGTGGAGAAGGGCACCAACGTTTATGGGCCACCTACTACGTGCCACGCGTGTGCTCGGCTCCTGGAGCTGTCATTGCATATCACTCGGTTGAGCCCCATTGAAGCGAGCAGCAATACTTGGCTTGTCTGTGGTGATTTGCTGTCTCATTAGAGCCTCACAACAGCCTTGCAAATTGGCCAGGGTGGTGAGTCTAGGCCACGTGTCTGAGAAGGGGTACCGACCAGCTAGCGAGAGGGGTGGGGTACCTTCCTGGGTCCCTTGGCTTAGGAGTGGCTTGTGTAAAGAAGGGGCTGTGTAAATGTACGGCCTTCTGCCATCTGCTGGGTGCCCCCCTCCCACCATGCTCAGTGGTGGAGACTGGGCGTTCGGTAGATTACATTTTTGGTAAATTACAGAAGTATGGAGTCTTGGGTCAGGTGTGCCTTGTCTTGCTCCACAACTGTGGCTTTGCCCCTGAAATACTGTTAAATTCCCTTTTCAATGAAAGCCTGAGGGGCTCTGATTTTCCAAGCCTTTTGCAAACTCCAGGTGGAAACCTTTGTTACGCAGTGTCTCCATTTGGTAGATTTGATTTTTGAAAATGGGCCCCAGGTGCATTTTTGACTCTGTTGAGTACCCAGACATCTTGGAGAATGGAATAGTTGGGTCTCTTTATCCTTGGTGTGCAGGGCAAGGCGCCGTCTGAATTGGCACATGCTGGCAGCACCTGGGTGCTCCTCACTGCTGTCCCCAGGGCCTTCTGCACCTCCATCCAGTGCAAGTAGCACAGGCGCTTTCTCCTGGTTGGCTGCCTCTCCCAAGCAGGCTTCGTTGGGATTTTCATGGCGGGCAAGGCATGCAGAGTGGCCCTAGGAGTTTATAAGGAAATCAGGAGGAACCGGAGCCAGAGCTTTGACGATGGGGTATAGGGCTTCTGGAACATTGAAAAAGGACATTGGAGTATTGCACCCCAGATACACACTCTTATGAAAAGGGTGCCCTAGACACTGAAGAAATTTGGAGAAGACCCTGTGGCTTTCTGGAAGTCCTGTTGTGATGTGGGGCACCGGAGCTCCCCCTGCCGTCATCATGTAAGACTTGGGAGATCCCAGTTAACACTTTGCACCTTTTTTACTGATAGGTGTTGTGTCACTCTTTCTGTAACCAAAGCTTGAGATTTGTCCTTGGGTTGGTAGGTTTTACTCAGTAATTAGCAGACTCTAGTAAAAGAGTCCTGGCTGACTCAGGGCCGGGACCTCATGCCAGACTTGCTGGCTTGCCCTTCTTTTGGACCTCCCTGCCTTTGAAGGGGTAGGGGCTCAGGGCACCCAGAGGGGCAACTGTTCTGGGGAAAATTGGGAGTAGAGTGTTAATTTTTGTAGAAGGGATGTTGAGTTCAAGGTCTGGTTGCCTTCCTTTGTCCAAATATTGGCTTCAAAAAGAAGGCAAAGGCCTCTAGGCCATTCTAGAAACCCAGGAAGCCCACTCTGTTTTCATTACCGAAGCTTTAGATGTTTTGTTGGGTAAGCTTAAGAAGGAAAAGAAAACACCAAAAAGAGTTTTTGTTTCTTCTTCCACTTCCAGGGCACTGCCCTCTGGTGGCCACATTTCTATGCTGGCTGCAAAATCTTCCAACTCTTGGGATGGTGAACGGGGCCTATGCTGTTTTGTTTGGTGTGAATGTCCATGAGACAGTGTGGACGGTTGTCTTCATCACTCAGCCTCTGAGGGTGCAGTCCTTCTGTATTGATGGATGATCAATATTGATGGATGATGAATTCTGCTGGAGATGACTTGATGTTGCTCTGAATGTTTGGGGGCAGTGCCCTCACCAGAGGGAATTGCTGGCCTGGCCTGGGATGAGTTGTTTAGTTCAGTGTCAGGCCTTATAAAAACCTTATCAAGACGGGGAGAGGTTGTCTGGTCCAGCCTTGTTTTACAGATGTGGAAATGGGTGCCAGACGGAGCAGCCTCCATACTTCTGCTCTTTTCCTGTGCCTTCTTCATTGAGTCCAACCTAGTGACCTTGAGATGTGCTCAGAGAGCAAAGCCTTTCTTTCTGGGCACTTCCAACAGAAGGTGCCCTTGTTCTCTTCTCAGGGGTCCAGCTGCTTCTGTTTTGTCCCTAGCTAGGGACACTTTCCTTGCAAGACTGAGTTGTGCCCTCCACAAGTGTAGTGCCCTGTTTTCCCAGAGGTCAGTGCCTGTGGGTGGCATCAATAGGTGGTTGAGCCAAGTCCTGGGAAGTGCCCCACCTACATGAGGCAGGTACAAGGGCCAGCCCTTTCAGCTGTGAGGCCTGATAGGATGGGGCCTCTGGCCAGCCAGCAGATGAGCCTTGGAATCAGCTTGTTTTCAGTGGTACTGTTTGTTCCTGTTCCTCCTCTGTGTCTTCCCCTCTCTGTGGGGACACAAGGACATGGCTCTGGTTGAGTTCATTTTCCCCTCCCACCTGCCTCCCAGTTCCTAGGCTGGGGCCACCTCATATCCTCTCTTTGTGGCTTTTTCAAGGTGCCTAGAAGAGGCCCCCAAGAAGCAGCGGAGGGCTAAAGTTGTGGGTCGGACAGATCAAGAAATTTCAGGGAGCTTCTGTGTTTGTTTTGTCCCTGTGGTGCTCCTTTGGGGAATGCTGGCTGGCTTGGGTTCCTCTCGTTCATGTTCTCTGTGCCTCTCCTTTTCTGCCGGTGGAGCTACAGGAGGTTGTGACAGAGGCACATGGCATCATGAAGCCCTCTGATATACCATGTGGGTGAACGTTGTCTGTCTTTACTATAACGACAGCTGATTTTTAATGAGTTGCTTCTAAGTACCTCCTCGCATCTCATCCTTCCAGCAGCCAGGGGTGGAGAGATGGGGAAAATGAGACTCCGCATGCAGAAGGGACTGGCACAGCCTCTCGGAGGGCTTCCCTGAGCTCAGGCTGGAGCCTTGCCACCTAGAGTGCAGCCTCCTTGTTTATTAGGTGTCTCCTTGCCAGCTGAGGCCCAGCCATTGTAGAGGCTCAGCAGGAGAATGCCTGTGAAGTTCTTGTCTTCAGAGCACTCAGAATCCATCTGGGCCCACTCTGCTTTTGGGACTCATGCTCAGGGAGCCATCTCAAACCATGCACGTTGTTTGTCTCTGTGTCTTTTCCCACTGGGGACCCATTTGTAAGGTTCCTAGAAGGCACCATGGAGTTCACTGATGCGCTTGTTTACTGAAAGCCTTCTAGAATCCATGCTTGGTGTTAGGCAGGGGCTTGGGGTACAGTGCCTAGAGCATACCAGGGAGAGTAGGTGCTGTTGAGCCTATCCCTTTCCCTTGGGCCCTACATTTCTTCTTCTTTTTGGTAGTGCAAGGAATTGAACCCTGGGCCTTTCACATGCTAGACTAGCACTCTTCCACTGAGCTACCCACCATCCCCATTTTTTCCTTTAAATTAGAGCCATCCTGAGGCCACTGTGTTCCAGGATGGCTTAGCACTTTGGGCTGGAAGTCTTCCAGGAGATTCTGCAGAAGGAGAAAGGAGGCTCTTTTCCAGAATTCAGTGATGCCAATCTGGGTTGGTATTTATTCGTTGATTTTAATGGCAGGATTTGCCACCATCTTGGAGGCTTGGAGGTGGGAGGAGGTTCTGACTTAGGTTTCCTTTGTGTGGCACATGGGGAATATCCATAACTGAACCTTGCAAATAAGCCTTTCCTGACAGCCTCCTAGGGAGTAGACTGGACTTCTTGTCAGAGCAAATACCCATCTGGATGCAGAATGTCTTTGATGAGGCTGTGAAGGTTTCAGGCCAAGCTCTACAGCTGAGCACGCATGTGACACCCATTTGGTGTTGTTCTTGGATTTGGTAGTTTGCAAGTGGCCCTGAGGTCTGTGATGTTAGCTAATCATGGGGTGTGGGGTTTGTGGCTTGGCTGATGGTTCTATTTTCCTTTAATGCATGACCTATCTGAATCCCACAGTGCCCACTCCTGCCCCCATAGACTGCTGTTCTCACCTATTTTCTGGGTGGGGAAACTGAGAAAATTATTTGACTGCAAGGTGATACTCTCATCTTTTTAAGTGTGGAGATTGGAGAGTTTGTGCTGGACTTCCTGGAAATGCCCTCTCTGTTAGTGATTTAGAACAGGCTTGTGCTTGCGTTTCTCTTCTGGTAGTGAGATGCAGGAATTCACATTGTTGGGGCTGACTAGGCATCACCAGGCAGAGCTAGGCTTATTGGCATGGCAGGCTGGGTGCCTCTGATCCTAAGCATTGAACCACTCTGTCTCCACTAGTTATTTCTCCCAGTGGGCTAGCAGGTTTGGATTATCTAATAAAATCCCAGTGAAGTGCCTTGTAAGTACAGTTCCTGAGCAGCTGGATGTAAGCAGTGTTTCTGTCCCCATTTATATTTTGCATTTGGCTGGTAAGTTTACTTCCGAGGTATGCTATGGCACCTTCTTCCTTCCTTGGCAGAGCCACTGACTGAACCCCTAACCCCTTCCTGCATGAATTGGGCCTTGGAGAGCTGGCCTAAATTGGTGTGGCCTTGCTTTGGAAGGTGTTGCAGTCCTGGGAGGGAAACCCAGGCCCGGCATGTCCAGAGTCACACAGAGGGGCTATGGCAGAGGACGCCCTGCTCTAGTACCAGGGTTCCTGCCCCCTGCTCACTGAAGC